TCGAGAATATTGTGGATTTCCATAGAATGAATTTCCACGATCGCCCCAACCGTAATAATTCCCATCAAAATTTGAGTACTTCCAATTGTCTCGTCTATACCAATCTCTCTCGTTAGCTCTACGTGCACCATATCTCTCGAACAAAAAAGGGCAATCATCGGTGACGTGTTGTGTGGTATGACATAGACGACATGGTCTCTTTAAGGCTTGACGAACACTCTCAATGGCTTCTTGGATCATAGCCGACATCCTAGCCTGACGTTGTTGGTCTCTTATTTCCCTTCTTCTCATTTCATAATATGATTCGTAAGCGTAAGCACACTCCGGGCTCCAATATGTATCCATCTCGAACGAATACCACCTGCAAAAGAAACGAAAAAATAGGGGGGATTAAGGGAGTCAAATAAAAAAAATAAAATAAAATAAATACTAATCTAATACCTAAGTCAATTAACACTAAAAAAAAATCACAACTCAATTGCGCTACTCCCCGGCAACAGCGCCAAAATTTGACCGCGCGTCGCAACGCGGCAAATTTAAATTTATAAAGTTTTCCTCGACTAACCTCTACTAACTAGCAGTAGCGGCGAGTAAGGGTCGATCCCACGAAGAGCAGGAATTAAGTCGTGATAATTTTCGTATTAATCGAACTAAAACTAAGAAAGCGAGTAAATGGAGGGGAATGAATTGATAAAAATAAAATAGTAAAATAAAATAAAATCAAATAAAATAAGAGAAGTCCAGTTTTCGGTTCAGTTATCACCCAATCTAAATCTACCGTTAATCAATTTCGACGCTTTCTTTAAATTGCTAATGAATTACCGACCCTAGCTAACAACACGCTCTGTTAACCGAGTTTTCCCTTACCGACTATTTAATCGAAATAAGCTCTTCGACTAAACCTAACTAGTGGACAACCTAGAATAAGCTCTCTAGATTTAATACACTAGCAGCATTAATTACTAGGAAAATAGATCAGTCTAAGCAACGGACACAAAAGCTCGGACCATTTAACTTATGTTCACGCTACCCTAGAGATGCACGACCCCTAGTTTACTACTAACGAAACAAGACAATAACAATTACGGATTAAAGTCTCGTATCTAGCAGTAAAACTATGAATATTTAACGTAGTTGGCCAGACTAAATCAAACACCATAATTCATAAACATTAAACGCAGATAACATGAATCAACTCATCAACAAAAATAAATACGGCGTCTAGATTAATCGACGAAAGAAATAGACCATTCAATTCATAGACAAATCGAAATTAGGGTTCAACATCCCCTAAAACTGGATAAAAATCCTAACCTAACATATTAATAATAAAGTAACCAAAAGATAAAAGAGAGAGAATTTTATCTCCCTCGTGTGCGGGTGCGGCTTCCCTCCGCGTGTGTAGCCTTTTTCCCCGTCAGTGCGTGGTCCGTCTGCTTGCTTATCTGTGCGTGAGGCCTTTTTTCTTTTTTTTTCTGCTCTGTTTTCCGCCAATAATTCCCGTGTGGCTCCTCTGTCCTCAAATAAATCCTCCAGACCAATGAGTCCTACTCCAAGTTAACTAATTAATGACTGCCGCTTTCATTTCCTTATTTTCCCATAAATTCAAGTTCCCACAAATAAATCAATTTCCTCTCAATTGTATTATTCAAGTGGCTGCGTGGTCATCTTTGTAATTGGGCTTAATTTTATAAACTTCTTCTAAGGATATTTTTGGGCCGTATATAATCTGGTATTGGTGGCCCAATCTCTTGCGAATACTCGTTCAACGCCCGTATTCATAAAATACTCCAATTAGCTGAAAAAAAAGTATAATAATATCAATGTGTATGAATCCATCCAAATAATAAATAAGTCAAAAAATATAAACGTGCTAATAAATTTAGTGTATAAGAATACACCATTAACTATATAAAATAGGCACATTTTTCGACCTATCAAATCTCCCCAAACTTAAACCGTTGCTTGTCCCCAAGCAACTTAGAACTAAAACCACATAGATGGATATAAACAAGTACGTGGAATATTCGCTCAGGTCCTCACACATCTCACATAAATGCATAGCTACAACTTCTCAAATTAATAATCCTGGACTCAAAATGAAATCATCTTTGGAACGCCAACAATCAAATATCAATTCAGTGAATCACCATAGTTCATCGATCTCTTTACCGAGTATACCAATCATG